ATATATATATTGGCAGCTTCTATGGGCAATGCCAAGATGACTTTGAGACTGGGGAGTCCACAGTATAGGAAGAAAGCAGGCATGCATACCTGGGCTGGACAGGTTCCAGGAAGGTGACTGTAACCTGTGCATAGAGAGTGCTGAGGGAGGGGTGCTGGGGGTGGAGAGACCAATGAGGAAGTGGAAGAAATGACCTAGGTGAGGAGGCAGAACCGACAGCACTTAGCAGGAGGCTGGTGTGGGGCCAAGAAAATCTGTGTCAGGTGGGAAGTGAGGGCAATGTACCCAGAAAGAAGTTAGAATTTGCTCCTCACTCTGGCTCTGCCAGACCAGCTCTGGAGTAAGACTCTCCATAAAGTACTCTCTTACTGCTTATAGGAAAGAAATTGCTCTTTGGCTTGTCTTGAAAATAATGACTGAGATGGCAAGAGACTGGGGTACAGGGAAGGGCAGCTGAGGGAGGAGCACTGCCCACTTCCAAAGGGTCCCTTCCCTGTAGGGGGCAGGGAATGTGGAGGGAAGATCAAGATGACCTCAGGGCAGTGCAAGCCACTGAGCAGGGTATGATGTGCTTGTGACTGAGGGGCACCCCCAAGATGCACAGCTGTAACAACAGGAGGGGACAAGCACAGTGTGCAGATGGAAAATGCTGGAGGACATGGAGGAAGACAGCTGAGTTCCAGCCCTCAGAGCATCGGGATGCCACCGGCTTTCTGCCTGCTCATGTGGACTCTTACCTGGGACGGTGCAGATAGTGTCCTCAGACAATAGGCCTTGGAGAGCTGACACTGAGACCCAACATCTGGGTAAGAATCAGCCATGGGAGTACCAAGGCACAGACCCTCCCTATCTGCCTGTGAACAGTTCAGACTTGCTGCAGGAACAAGGATGACTAAGGGCTGTGCCAGGCCTGCATCAGTGGATCCCTGGACCATGTCCCCTGCACCCCTAGTCATCTCCAATCTTCCATGTATTAAAGACATCTAGGGGTCTCTCTTCTCCCTAGTGATCAAAACGGGAATCAAAGCTTCAAAAAAAATTCTGATGTTTCTCACTTAAAAATGTAATTTTTCTATACGAATCACAAAATGATTCATACTCTAGCACACTGCTCCTGTTCCTGTCGCATCTCCATATCCCCTTCAGAACAATGACACTGACCCTGGATTTGCTTTTAGCATGCCAGTCTCTGCAGGCTACCCTCATGGACACTGCCCTGTCCTCTGTGAGCTGAGGACTATATTTATAGGCCCACTAGTATTTGTTGACAGGAAAACAGCTAAGAGTTTCAGTCAGAGCCACAGGCGAATAGGTGACACCACAGCTTGGGAGGACTGTCAATAATGGGAGTATTCGTTGCAGCATCAACAGTTAAGTGTTTCTAGGCAGATTAAAGAGGGTATAATCTGCCTTCAAATTTCCATGAACATACATGCAAATGTCCCATAAGAGACATGGGACAAAGACTTCCTGACAACGGTTGATAAAATAATCCATTAGTGAATGTTTTTGGTAAACATCCCTTAATTTACTCTTCTGAAAAACTGACACACTGGATGCATGTCCAGTAGGGGGGAACCAGAACCTGGGACATTGGCCACGTGTCTACATCTATATGGAGGATCAGACTTTTCAGAGAGAACTCCTGTCCTCTTGGGTCTGCCCATCCTGTGCACTGTCCTGCATGTGGAGGGAAAGGGGTACTCAGGGGAGGCTGGGATTCTCCACCACTTTCCTCTTTCAGGAGGTTTCTAGGTGCTGCCTGGGATGTGGAGATAACCCAAGTATGAAACCATCCCCGAGAAGAGAGCCCCAGGGTGTTTAAGAGCCAAACACTGGCAGCCTATGCTAGTGTCCTCCTTGTGTCACCTTCAGGTGGCTGCTTGGGCTTTCCTGGCCATTATCATGAAACTGATGTAGGAATTCTCTAAGTTCTGTAGGGCTCAGTGGTGGGGGAGAGGATGGGGAAAAGAAGCTGCTGGAGGCTCTGCATTTAAGTCAGTGCAAGTTTAGTGCCTGAGTGTGGGAGAAGCCAGATGTTCTGATGGCACCACCATCACGGGCCTGCCCCCGCCCTCCCTCCACCACGCCACGGGAAGGCTCTGGAATCTACTTATTGTGGGCAAGGTGCCAGAACCTTTTTGGAGGAGCCCCCATCAGCCTCCTGCTCCTGGAGCGCACTGTCTGGAGGGCTGGGCCTAAGTACTGGGGAGGTAGGTGGTGACTGTCAGGCTCAGGGGTGCTGGTGTCCACTCTGCCTACCTGGAGATGTCATCCTAAGCCCTGTGCCTCTCTGCTCCTCTCATATGATACGAAAATTCAGTGCCATTTATTCCAAGAGTCGCCCCCCTCCCCCAGCTGTGTTTTGGGGGCTCTGAGTAATGATTAGGCCCATCTTTCTTAGGGTATGTGTTATTTTGGCACAAACAGGATGCTGGCCTTAACTCATTGGGATATGCCCGGAGTTTGAATCTCAGCTCTGGCTTTCACTGACTGTGTAGCTTTGGGCAAGCTGCTTAACCTCTCTGAGCCTCTATGTCCTCATCTGTAAAATA